GTCAGACGTACACTATACCATGTGATCATAAGTGTGGAGATGAAATAGTGCTGAAGGTGAGACATGACGAGGGAGAATATGGAAAACCAGGGTGTATTCACATGAGAGAAATCGAAGTCAAGGCATCCCTATCCAGTGAAGACAGCGAAGACAGCGAAGACAGCGAATACAGCGAAGACAGCGAAGACAGCGATGACAGAATTGACAGAATTGACAGAGAGGATCCCTATTTTGAGATTCAAGGTAAAACATAAAGCTTAGAATCCGATAATATATCGGATGATTTAGTGAATTCTTTTGATACAGATAACCAAACAATCCTCCCCAATCCCCATACAAGTGAACTACCCGTTCCAAACTTTACCCAAGTCTTCCTCAATTTCTTTACAGCCGAATCCCCTCTACCTCCAAACAACTTTGTACTTGCTTAACGTACAATCCTTACTAAGATATACTGCAGATTGTAATTTTCTATTTATACCATCGTGGGAATCATTATTTATAAATCATATGTAATTCTCAAGATCATCACAGCATCATTCGGTGGTGTTAAATGTTACCGCGGCGAAATAAACACAACAGCCACATGAACTATTATTAAGTGGAAACACTTCTAGCAGCTAACTCATACAATCAACAATACAACAACAACTAAATCTACTCAAAATCCAACATTTACACGGCCATGAAACTAGTTTTAAAGAAATTGCAATTAAGTAAGTTCAGTTGATAAAAGTAACCGCTCACAGCAAATATGATATTTATTGTAAAACATCGGTGTATCTATATTAAAACAAAATATGTACAGAATACAATTGCACATAAATTTAAATTGTTTTTCAAAAAAAGGGAAACACTCAAATTGGCGGGCAAACGATCCGTTTCATGATATGTAGAAAACAATACCAATCCTCAGTGCCGAATAAGAATAATGAATTTTAGAAATATGATAGGTTGCCCCTTCATGAAAAAGGTTATATAAATCTTCCTCAGATTATAACTACCCATCCTCATAGATTTTGGTTCTGGTGGGGAGGTGAACCATATATTTGATTTGACACATGACAGTCCCCGTTTGAGAAATGGCATAATCACGTGTCAGGAAAAAAAATTATCAAATTACAAAAACGGGGGAATCACTGGTAACGTGTCAGAAATAACATGGTTCACCTCCCCACTGGTATCGAGATATTCTGTTGATTACGACATATCGACATGTTAGCATGCTAACAAGTACCATTGTTTCTTAGTGACCAACTGTTGGTACACGACCCAAGAGGAGGTTTGTCCAAACACACGTCACGTGACGCTACGCCTATTCCCAAATACCTGTGGAAATATTATCTTTAACGGTATTTTTAGATACGTGCTGAAATAATACATTGCGATGTTCAATTCATCCCTTGTTTAATATAAAGTTATCTCATATTGATTTTGCTTGGAGAAGTTATCTTTTGACTCTTAAAGATGCGAACAAAATGAAGAAACAGACTTTAGGCTAGAAACTTTATTGAATTGAAATAATCATTCCACGTAACTACAAAAAAAAATTTGGAGTTCTTAGCTTAAAGCGTTCTCATTTTATGAAGACAATAGTGAAAAAGAGGGAGTGTCACGCCACGCCCACTGTAATTGGGTGTGGCTTACGAAACTTTCAGGAAATCTAAGTTTGACCCATATCTAAAATCTCTGAAATTTTGGTGCAATTTGGAGACGAATTACGTGAGTTATTAAGAGGTTGCGTGTGGGTAGTCACTTATGGGCCACCCTGTACGTCTTCTTCAGTTCTGTAATAAAATTGTTAAACATGTGTAAAATTAACGACGGAAAGAAATTTAAAATAACATTAAAACAAAAACAGAGAAATAAAATTTACGAAATATGACCCAAAAATGTAATTGCAAAAATTCAAAACTTCAAAAAATACGGTTCCAATTAGAATTAGACCTCTCCATGGAAACATAGTATTCCAGTATATTTATTTCTAGTTCCTGGCATCCAATAATTTAATTTCATTCACCTTGATGGTTCCAAGTAGAATTAGACCTCTCCATGGAAACACAGTATTCCAGTATATTTATTTCTAGTTCCTGGCATCCAATAATTTAATTTCATTCCCCTTGATGGTTCCAATTAGAATTAGACCTCTCCATGGAAACACAGTATTCCAGTATATTTATTTCTAGTTCCTGGCATCCAATAATTTAATTTCATTCCCCTTGATGGTTCCAAGTAGAATTAGACCTCTCCATGGAAACACAGTATTCCAGTATATTTATTTCTAGTTCCTGGCATCCAATAATTTAATTTCATTCCCCTTGATGGTTCCAATTAGAATTAGACCTCTCCATGGAATCACAATATTCCAGTATATTTATTTCTAGTTCCTGGCATCCAATAATTTAATTTCATTCCCCTTGATGGTTCCAATTAGAATTAGACCTCTCCATGGAAACACAGTATTCCAGTATATTTATTTCTAGTTCCTGGCATCCAATAATTTAATTTCATTCACCTTGATGGTTCCAAGTAGAATTAGACCTCTCCATGGAAACACAGTATTCCAGTATATTTATTTCTAGTTCCTGGCATCCAATAATTTAATTTCATTCCCCTTGATGGTTCCAATTAGAATTAGACCTCTCCATGGAAACACAGTATTCCAGTATATTTATTTCTAGTTCCTGGCATCCAATAATTTAATTTCATTCCCCTTGATGGTTCCAAGTAGAATTAGACCTCTCCATGGAAACACAGTATTCCAGTATATTTATTTCTAGTTCCTGGCATCCAATAATTTAATTTCATTCCCCTTGATGGTTCCAAGTAGAATTAGACCTCTCCATGGAAACACAGTATTCCAGTATATTTATTTCTAGTTCCTGGCATCCAATAATTTAATTTCATTCCCCTTGATGGTTCCAATTAGAATTAGACCTCTCCATGGAATCACAATATTCCAGTATATTTATTTCTAGTTCCTGGCATCCAATAATTTAATTTCATTCCCCTTGATGGTTCCAATTAGAATTAGACCTCTCCATGGAATCACAGTATTCCAGTATATTTATTTCTAGTTCCTGGCATCCAATAATTTAATTTCATTCCCCTTGATGGTTCCAAGTAGAATTAGACCTCTCCATGGAAACACAGTATTCCAGTATATTTATTTCTAGTTCCTGGCATCCAATAATTTAATTTCATTCCCCTTGATGGTTCCAAGTAGAATTAGACCTCTCCATGGAAACACAGTATTCCAGTATATTTATTTCTAGTTCCTGGCATCCAATAATTTAATTTCATTCCCCTTGATGGTTCCAATTAGAATTAGACCTCTCCATGGAATCACAATATTCCGGTATATTTATTTCTAGTTCCTGGCATCCAATAATTTAATTTCATTCCCCTTGATGGTTCCAAGTAGAATTAGACCTCTCCATGGAAACACAATATTCCAGTATATTTATTTCTAGTTCCTGGCATCCAATAATTTAATTTCATTCCCCTTGATGGTTCCAATTAGAATTAGACCTCTCCATGGAATCACAATATTCCAGTATATTTATTTCTAGTTCCTGGCATCCAATAATTTAATTTCATTCCCCTTGATGGTTCCAATTAGAATTAGACCTCTCCATGGAAACACAGTATTCCAGTATATTTATTTCTAGTTCCTGGCATCCAATAATTTAATTTCATTCCCCTTGATGGTTCCAAGTAGAATTAGACCTCTCCATGGAAACACAGTATTCCAGTATATTTATTTCTAGTTCCTGGCATCCAATAATTTAATTTCATTCCCCTTGATGGTTCCAAGTAGAATTAGACCTCTCCATGGAAACACAGTATTCCAGTATATTTATTTCTAGTTCCTGGCATCCAATAATTTAATTTCATTCCCCTTGATGGTTCCAATTAGAATTAGACCTCTCCATGGAATCACAATATTCCGGTATATTTATTTCTAGTTCCTGGCATCCAATAATTTAATTTCATTCCCCTTGATGGTTCCAAGTAGAATTAGACCTCTCCATGGAAACACAATATTCCAGTATATTTATTTCTAGTTCCTGGCATCCAATAATTTAATTTCATTCCCCTTGATGGTTCCAAGTAGAATTAGACCTCTCCATGGAAACACAGTATTCCAGTATATTTATTTCTAGTTCCTGGCATCCAATAATTTAATTTCATTCCCCTTGATGGTTCCAATTAGAATTAGACCTCTCCATGGAATCACAATATTCCAGTATATTTATTTCTAGTTCCTGGCATCAATAATTTAATTTCATTCCCCTTGATGGTTCCAATTAGAATTAGACCTCTCCATGGAAACACAGTATTCCAGTATATTTATTTCTAGTTCCTGGCATCCAATAATTTAATTTCATTCCCCTTGATGGTTCCAAGTAGAATTAGACCTCTCCATGGAAACACAGTATTCCAGTATATTTATTTCTAGTTCCTGGCATCCAATAATTTAATTTCATTCCCCTTGATGGTTCCAATTGATTGGCCGACATCTGTCCGACAGCGACATCTGTCCGACTCAGAAAATAGGTTATTTGGACAATAGTTTATGTCGGATCCTACCGTACGATTTTCTTGAAACTTTCCATTAAGTATAGTGGTTATATGACGAATAATCTGTGTAAGTTTGAGCGAGTTTCTATGTGCCAAATTTAAGATATTACCTTAAACACTAAAAATATATCCAATTCGGTGGTTTTCAGTGGTTCCAAAGCATATATCTGGAGATCCAACGATACGATTTTCTTGAAACTTTCTAGATAGTAAGATAGCTTTAAGACAAATAATTTTTGCAAGTTTGATTAAATTTCTATGTGCCAAATTTGAGATATCACTTCAAACACACGAAAATAGTGTTGTCGGACAGATGTCGCTGTCGGACAGATGTCGTGTTACCAAACTGATTTATTGTTGTTTAATTTTGAATGTATTGAAATTATTATATTAACTGAATTACATTGTATAGACTGCATAGCAAAAGTTTGGAGCTTTGTCTGCTGAAAGTCAGTTTTGAAACAATTGAATGAAAGGAGAGCTACTGACTGATATCATAAGCTACAGTAGGGAACGTAGTGGTAAGTCTTTGTCAAGTTATACAATTAAAATATTGTAACAAGTTAAGTTAGGAAGATTGTTTGTGATTGATATCATCGATTTTCACCTTTTAAGAGTCTAAATTGCAGGAACTCGACATGATGACGTGGTGACCATTATATCTGATATTATAACAAACTTGAAAAGTTGCATGCTTTTTACGTAAATGTATGAACCAAAAGTGTTGCTTTTATTGGTGTTTCTTAAAACTTTAACTATCACGATCGAATTATAGACTTTAATTGAAGCTAATGGGACACATCTGACCGCAGATTAAACGTTTAGCCGGTGTAGTAGAGACGAAATCCATACCTCAGAGGTTGCCAGCTAAACCAGTTGTAAGTGGTTCACAATCATTAAAATTGTTATTGTTAAAAGTGCAACGACCTGAGCCTTTGCGCCGTGACATGGACGGTAACACAACTCGTGTCCGACAGCGAGATCTGTCCGAATCAAACGGCATCTGTCCGAAATCATCATCTGATTTCAACACATTTCCAATTAGAGACATGATCTGAACTCATGAACTGTTACTCGCTAATTTGTATACGTAACATTTCCAATTTGAGATATGATCTACCCAATGCTCCGCGTCCGCCATATAATATATGATCTGCGTTCTTAGCAGTACCCCAAAGGAAAGATCGTCGAGTATTTTCGTCCCATCCAGAGTCCCAGAGCAGCATTGTTTCGTTGTCGGTAGAGAGCATATAGTTTGCAGGAATGGGGAGCGTTTCCAGATTAGAAAGGTTTCCAGATTAGAAGGGTTTCTCGGGTTCGAAAGATGTCTGTTTGCTGCTTTTCTGCTTCTCTGTACCATTCTGTTGAGGGGTGATAGCTGGCAGCTCTAGATTCGTAACCCAATCCACCAACTGATTCAGATAAGAGTTATTTCGTCGGTCGATCTCCACCAGAAGCTTTTCTTTTCAAGTTCTGTTTGCTGACGTGGACGGTCGTTTCAGCATGGTAGGCAGGGTGAGTGCGGTCAGGAGTAGGAGTGATCAGTTGTTTCTCCACGGTAGAATCGTGCTCTGCAACCCTTTCGGAAATCCGAATATTTCCAGTGGGTGGTATCGTCTCTTTATTTGTCGAAGACGTATCGGAAGCCATTCAGGACAGGGTTCTCCGGGCCGAGCCTTGTTTGCGTCCAGGGATAAACTGAAGATTGGTTGCAATTGTGGATTGCGATAACTGATCTACATACCGTTATTACCGCTGTCTTATATGTACTCATGTCCTGTGATGTGATCGACAGCTTGTAAGTTTACCGCTAGGACGATCTGACGTTCCTGTTCTCAACTAGTCAATCATATATCGAGGATTATATTTCAATGGATCACATCAGCATTAGAACAATGGGAGCAACGTCACGAGATTACCCGTGAGCTTGTGAAATACGAATGTGAACTGAAATTACAATATGATCCGAAATTCGGACAGATGTCGCCAAAAACGACTCCTGTCCGACAGCCACATATGTCCGAAATCCCTAATTCGGCTGTCGGACAGATGTCGCCCAATCGACATGGACACGGTTGGACACCACCTATACCATTATTTGGTAGATCAACTTAATAGATTTACATGGTTTTGACTTACATCTCAAAACTTATTTAATTTAACTGTTACTATACCTGCCGGCAGGTATAGTAACAGTTAAATTAAATAAGTTTTGAGATGTAAGTCAAACAGTATTTCCTAGGAACAATATTTCATCACAAATGAACAAATTGCTCCAAGATACATACAGTTCGAGCTCATATGATTTTCTTCCTGTAAGTATATCTTGTCAAATGTCAAAGAATCGATGTAACATAGTATGTTGTTACACGCTTCATAACTTATCGCAGCAATGTGTACTATCCTACATTCGTTTTCATTTGGTATATACATTCATTGAAATAACTATTGTTTTTCAGCCAAAGAGTAGTCGAAGATTGAGAGCATTCCTGCTATCAAGAAACCTGTTATCAAGAAGCCTGATATCAAAAAACCTGATATCAAGACATGCAGCACTGTCAAATCGGTTAGTACAAGTGGAAAAACTGTTCGTGAACACGTGTCGCCCATCGGGATACTTGGATATTGCCGATTTTATGTGTGATCTCGAGTTACATTATATGTCGTCACTCGTCATGCTCAAATCCATCTAAATAACTTGTTTCCAGGCTTGATAATCAGCTGTTACCCGGGTGAAACTACAGTTTATCTTCTATCAACGTTTATTGATCTCACAAATGCTTGATGTTTGAATTGCAGTGTCGTTTAACACTAACAGTACTTAAATCACCAGTATGTAAAGTCAAATCACTAGTATGAAGGCATATCATAGTAGTACATTTTACTGATTTAAATCGAAACCGTCAGATCTTAACGTTCAAAATGTACGATAAAATCTTTACCAAGCCGAGTTTTACCGAGGTTTTGCAAACATACGATGGAAAACAAACGCATTCCACTGAGTGGAATCCACTCATGTGTAAGACGGAACCAGTCAAATCCCTGTCAAAACTTCGAGCAAATCTGCACACACTGTAACCAGCCAGGGGAGGTGGTTACAGAAGGAGGCAGTGACGACTGTTGACATACATTTTTATTTCTGTTTCACCTGTCAGACTTCATATCGATACACCGTTGTCTCGGAAGGGGTGTTCACGGTTCAATAACAACGACCATACAATTGTAGACTGTCAGCTTCTGGAAACCATCTTCACCAGACTGACATTGTTTGGACACCCCATATTCGAGACAGACGATCTTTCCGAAAGGAGTCCGACAGTCCCCACCTTACCAACAACACCCTAAGGGATCCCTTCCTACTCTATATGGGCCTGAAGGAGACACCTCTAGACTTCCTGTCCTGTAGAGAGTGTGGGAGGCATTCCCCTGTCATCCTCTTTGATGTGAAAGCAATAGATAAAGGCTCTGACGGCAAACCTGATGTCTACCCCATACAATTTGATGACTTGTGGAACATCGATCGTCAAGCAGAAAACCGGATCTAACGTCATCAACGGTATGCTTGACATGCTTAAATTAATCAAGAAGGGGACACTGAGATAACGGGTGGAGAGGATAATAGAACACAACACAGATCACTATTCGTTCACTAAAAAGTTTGTACAGATTGCTGGGAAGAGTGGTGGACTTCTTACACTCATGTGTCCACATGGAATATGTGTAGGGTTTAAGGTCCTCTGCCTGCATGAAGGGGCATCGGATTACGTTCAGTTCCTTAGATCATGGCAGCATATTCCGTCAATATCTGTTGTGGTCTTTGCTTCCCAAGTGGCCTGCCATGCCGAGAAGCAGTTCCCTGGTATGCTGCCACCATACGGAGGAAAGCTGGCAGACTCTTCAAAACCGGAGATCCCGCAATTCATCAAATTCGGCGGCGTTATAAACTTCGATGAGCTGTTGAACCACAAAATTCAATCTGTGAAATCCAACCCTAGAGACCATCCTGTAACCAAGTGAAGCCACAAGTTACCATATTTATGTCCATAATGAAAGATAGAGATTCGGCGGAAAGACAGTGCAGGCTGAGCGCCGCCCAGTAAGCCATAAGTACATCTTATTTGACAGATTTCATTCGAGGTGAATTTTAAAAATCCATAAGATATATTTCATCGCTTGAATATTTGTGCACAGCTGCTACGGAATAGAATAAACACATCAATTTGTGAGCAAAATCACAAGGAGCTTAATAGGTACAGATATTCATTATATAACATGTCGGGGATGAACTTACTGCTGTCGGTTACATTCATACATCTTATGAGAAACGGCTGCACGAATTCCAGGCCCCCCTATTATTAGGGGTCAGATCATACTTACTTACTTGATACTTGATAAGGTCTCCTCGATCATTCGAGTGGCCTGCACCAAGGAATTGCCGCTTATGTCGTATCATCTCTCTCCAGTGCTTGCGATTTCCTGCCAACTCTCGGACCTTATCAAATACAATGTCTGGATCTCCTGTAAATGTTACTGTGTCTTCCAGGACACAGGTTCGCCAATTCTTTCTTGGCCGCCCACGTGATCTTCGGCCGTGAGCAGGTGTCCAGTCAAGTAGATACTTTGGTAGCCTGGTGTCCGGCATTCTAGAAACATGTCCAAACCAGCGAAGACGGTTGGCACTGATGTTGGTTATAACCGGGTTTATTCTTGCCCGCTCCAACACTTGAACATTGCTCGTCCGGTGGAACCATTTAATTCGAAGGATTCTCCACAAACAGTTTTGATGGAAAACTTCGAAGCGATGTAGTTGCTTTGAAGTAGTGTTCCAGACTTCGCTTCCATAAAGTAATATTGTTAGAACCGCTGCAACATATATCCGTATTTTGGTGTTAGTTTGGATATTGCGATTCTTCCAAATATTACCGAGCTGATTGAATGCTCCTGAGGCTTTCTGGATCCGTGCAGACAAGTCCCGGTCAATAGTCCCATCACTTGATATAATCGACCTAAGGTAAGTGAAGTTGCTGACTTGCTGGATAGCCGTGTCTCCCACTGTAATGTCCACCGTTGATGCTTCAGTATACGGCCTCTGTGATGTATTCTTGCCGATGGCCATAACCTCTGTTTTCTTCGCATTGATTCTGAGGCCAGCCTGAGCCGCATGCTTGCATAAAAGATCAGTCGTCTCCTGGAGACCGTCCTTGGTGTTGTCCATGATAGCCAAATCATCTGCATAGTCAGTATCCAAGACGACTGTATCCTGACCAAAGCTGGTGGTAGCTCTCTGCAGCACTGCCCCGTGTGACAACACTTTGTTATTCTCAGCCCGCTGCGCAGGCAGGTTGATGCAAACATTAAAGATAGGTGGACCCTGAATATCCCCCTGCCCAGAACCAGATGTAACGTCAAACCAATCTGAGAGCTCACCATTATGTCTGACAGAGCTGACGGTGCCGCAAAAGAATGCTTGCATTATGCGAATGTATTTACAAGGCAAGCCATAATGACTGAAAGCTTTCCAGATAAACTCCCGATTAAGTGAATCGAATGCAGCTTTAAAGTCAACAAAATTTAAGTACAGGGGAGGTTAAACTCAATGCTGTTGTGAATAATAGTACGGAGCGAATAAATCTGATCAATGCAAGACCTTTTTTTCCTGAACCCGCACTGATTCTCTCGGAGCAGTTCTTCAAGCCCCGCATTCATCCGTCGCAACACTATTATCTGATAGAGTTTTGATGCCGTGGAGCGTAGGGTTATGCCCCTATTGTTCGAGCAGAATGATGTATCACCCTTTTTCGGGACAATAACAAAGTAACAATGATACCATTAACCCAATCCTCTGGCACATTCTCCGTCTCCCAAACACGTGCAAACAGTTTCTCAAGCCTGTCTAAAAGACCAGGAGCCCCATACTTCAGCTGTTCGTTGGAAATTTCATCAATTCCAGAGCTCTTGTGATTCTTCAGACTCTTTAAAGCCTCAGAGATCTCTGTTCTGCTAGGGGGTAAATCACTATCACTCAGATACGGAAAACATGGTGCGACCTCTAGACTGTCTAGGTCTGAAAGGTCCACGTCTCCTATCTGCGGGTTTAGTAGTTCAGCGAAGTGCTCACCCCATCGTTTTCGTTGAGCAGCGGGGTCAGAAATCAACTTCTCGGTTTTATCTCTGACAGCAGTTGACTTCCGACTCTTCTTGCCTGACAAGGACTTGATCATCTGCCAGACCTCCCTCTGCTGACCGTGTGAAGAAGCTGTTTCCAGATCGGCTGCAACCCGTAAAGCCCAGTTCTCATCGTCCTTCTTGCAGCTCTTCTTAACACGCTTATTAGCAAGAGAATACTCAGATCTATTGAATCCATCACATGGGCATTTCTGTTTGACCTTACTCCGCTCCGAGATGAGATCCTTTGACTCTTGTGACAAGTGCTGCTTGTCAGATCATTATATGACGTATAATTAGTGATGTGCCGTATAATTAGTGATGTGATCCACCAGCTACGATTTACAGAACATGTGAACTCTACCCTATATCTAGCCCAGTTTTACCCCTTAGTTTTGATTTAAATTAACAAGTACACACACAATACTAAAAGAACAGATATCGTGGAGTTGGGTATGGTAATTCCTTCGCCTCTTAGCGGGTGTCTTGCCAACACTCAACCTGTCGATGTGAAAGTCGGTAATGACTTGCTGATCTTTGATAGCTCGCACATACTCTTGAACAGAGGGCTTTGGGCGATGCACTCGGGATTTAAATCCTCTGTGAAAGCCAGGCAGACTTGAGGGCTGAATCCTTTACTTGTCCTTCTTCCGGGAGTAGATGTATCCATCAGAGTCGAGTAGCTGTTGACATCCTGTCCGACCAGAGATGAATTTGGAGAAGGTAGGCATGTTGATAGAATGCGATACTATTGTCTATCATCTTCCAGTATATAATATACCTAAGAACACTTGATCGGCTCACTCCCGTTGCATGCCTTTGGCACGTACGTCTCACATCCCTAGATACAAGAACCCCTCTTTAGCAAGAGCTCCTGTCCCTTATGTGATATAGTTATACGAGTCGAGCGGTCAAATCTTAAAGATCATGTTTACTTCTTAATGCACAGCTATGATGTACATGTGAACTCTACCATTTCTAGGTTAGTTAAATTCTACTGATGGATCACATTACTAATTATACGTCACTAATTAGTGACATGATCTGATCTCCCTGGGCCCCCTAGTAATGAGGGGGCCTGGAAGTCGGCCTCTCGACCAGTCAGTGAGTGGAATAGGGAGTGAAGCCTGTTACCATTCCTCCACTCTTTAGAGTTTATGAAAATAGAGCCAGCAACGAAGATTGATAATCGCCTGCTAGTTCCTGTAGCAACTAAATCATCTAGTGAGTGCCTGAGGATGGTGACCAGATTTTCGTCTGTTCAAGAGAAGAACATCCAACAGCAAGGAATGTGAAATATATCAATGCCATGCTGTGCCAACAGCAGACGGATAACTTCTCGTGTGGACCTCTATGCTTTGGGTTTCTCTGGGCATTTAGTGGTGGAAACGACCCCCAACAGATTCTGGTTCAACTCTACGGATATTAGGAAGACCATACTTAAAATCGCCGAGGACGTCAATAATCGCGATACACATCTTGGGAGAGAAGTGCAAAAAATAAATCCAACGGCAGCGTCAAAATCTCTGGTAACTGTTTCCTGTCAGGCTGTCTGAATCCTTAACAACAAATTACTCTCCAAACCCTGGGCAACTTCTCTCCTAGCTCCAACTACAACCGAAATACTGTAATATAAGCCCATCACCCTTTTCATCAGTCTCTGGAAAGCCCCTTTAAGTACCTACAGGTGTATCTATACTAGTATACTCATTCCACTAGCATGTAACATGTTCACGTAATCATTATAATGAGCTTTCCTCACTTCTTCACTTATCACTCAACCCAGCCTCTCTTCCAGTGCTCTGGATTTGGAGGACTTAATTAATGATACACTCAATTAATATACTTGTTAATTGATCTTTGATGTAATTTCTATTCGGTCTATTATTTTAATTTTGTTAGTGCATGGAGTGAGTCATGTGTATTAAATTTCGTAATGAAGACTGCTTTCAATTCCCAATTGAATTTGTTTTAGTTCTTAGTACAATATTTTAAGAGATTAAGAGAAAAGGAAGTTTTGATACTATGGTTTCGTACACGCTGCTTTGCTTTTAATAACTTCCTGGGTTGATGTTATACAGGTGGGCTGTGTAGAATAATTTTAAATTTGGGATAGACGTTGCGAAACTATGATCGACCGCCAAGCTTTTGTTATATTTGAAATAATAACAATAATAAATTAAATTATAAACACTGCTTTTAAGTTGTAAAACTTTTACTCAGCAGTTTGAGAACAACTACAAAAGAACAAACTGATATAAGTGCCACAATAACTCTATCCTAAATTAACAGCCTTCCCAGCAATACACGATATATTAATATAACTTAGTAAATAGTACACACTACACAGTATTATGTACTATGCAGTAGTACACAGGCACTTTCAATCATTTAGTAACCTGAAATGTTTAGCCATTAAATTATTTTAATGTTATTTTTTACACACTGTTCCGCATGATGTGTGGTATATTAAAGCTTTATTACCGGGACTACTGTATTTCTTTTACTTGTTAATCCGACCGACTGCTTTAAACTTTTTTAAAGTGTGTTATCTTCAAATTAATTCTGAGACCCACTCAATCAATACGATGCTGCATTCCATGTTTAAATTGTTCATAATTACATTGTTATCTTCATCCATGATCGCTAATAATCTTAATGACATTGTTTGTAATTTAGTACTTCTTTTTCACTTGTTTACAAAAGAAATATGACTCAAAATTTTTCAGCTCCAGTACCTTGGTCGAGTGAAATCGTTTCTGCTCAGATGTCCGCTGGAGTACTTCGTCCGCTGGAGTACTTCGTCCGCTGGAGTACTTCGTCCGCTGGAGTACTTCGTAATGTTGTTCTGAGGATGAACAAAGGTAGTACAAAATTTAAGATTGTAAATCTTTAGAATCATACTGTCTAGCGCCTAATCGTTCAAAATCTGGCGAGTAACTCATAACTGAGATAATTAAAACCTAATTGAGATTTGAAAAGTTACTTACCATTGTACAGTCAAAAATTATATTTTTAATTTCAGCATAGTGATGAGAGAGGGCTATTAATGTGTGGGATTTCTGCTGCTTTGTTACAGTCATCTGACTTTTTCATTTTTACTCGGTGACTTTCTGAGGAAAGAGTTCTGCTAAAAAAGATACAAAAGATATGCACGCGAGAGATGTTTCCTCTGAGATTATGCTGATGCCGGATACATCACAAGCACATATTATTCGAACTGCAAATCTGAGAATTTTTTTATAATCCTGAACTTAATTTAAAATCCTTACTTAAAATCAGTTCTCATCCAATACTTTACAGATATTGCATCTAAGAGAGTAACAGGACGCTCGCAATATCTTGTATATATATATTTTCTTGTGTTTGAAGTCATTATATCTCAAGTTTGGCACATATAAATTCTCCCAAACTCTCACACATTATCCGTCATATAGCCTTGTAACTATCTGGAAAGTTTAAAGAAAATCTATCAGTCAGACCTTGAGAAAATCAAAAATATATTCTAAGTTATTCACTAAAACACTCTATTTTCGAACTTTTTAACTTTTTATTTTAAACAGATTTATCTTTCTGGTACCAAAATGCTTTACCATAATAAACGTACGGCGCGAGAACATTTCCTCGTCCAAAGTCTGACAGTTTACAACATGCGTAGGATTCCCTCAAGAGGTGAAAACGTAATCGCCACCAAAAAATACGACAAGAAGAAATGTAAATTAATACAACTAAATCCTGTACTACTCATGATATTGATACTATACTAATTATCTCATATTCAGACAATTTTTTTCCCTGCTCTTGCCGAAGGCAAAAAGATCGTAGGGAATAAGTAATCGGGTTTGGATATATGAGCTATCCCGATGGACCTGCGGTGACGACAAAAGTCTGCTCCTTCGCAATATAGACCACTCCCCTATAATTAAGTGTATAGGAAGCGTCTGTTATGCTGCGCGTGACGTTCAGCATGTGTTAGTTAATTGCAGTATCCAACGCGAATTTCAATTGTTATGTCAAACGATGTCGTTCAAATTAAATTAGCCCAAAATTTGTGCGCGGCGCGGCGTCTAAATATTCGATAACATGCAATCCTGCACGCGCGCAATGTCAAATTACGATGAAAATATTGCGTTGCAAATATTAACGGTTTAAGCAGGGAAAATTAATCGTGCGTGGTGTAACCGCGGCGAAATTCTTGTTACGTCAGACAATCTGTTAATAATAATTAATTGGATAATTATCAATTAGCTAATTAGAAAAAATTAAATCATTTTTGTCGGCTCAAATGATGATCGGAATAGCTTAAAGTTAATACACGGAGAAAAGTAGTTTTTAGAAAAACTTTTCAATTACTTTTTTAAAGACTAATTTGAAAATTTCGAAAATTCGAAATATTTTGTTCGCCAAAAGTGATCAAATTTGCAAAATTTGCAAAATTGCATGAAACGTGGAGAAAAATGCTTAAAAAACTCCGTGAATTTTTTGTTTCAAGAATACTAAAATCACCAATATTTGTAGTTGAAGTTCAGTAAATCTCAGCAGATTTAAGTAATCAGGAATTACTAAGTGGAAAGGTTTCATTTGTCCTTGTCTTTTCCAACCGGATATTATCCAACTATCAGTATTTCAATAGGGGAGAGACACGAGAAGGAGAAACAGAAGTTGAACCAGAAGGTTATAGAGATTAAAGCTCAGGTCTATGAAGACTGATATAAGACAGCATGATCTGAATAGTCCATCGGAACAGAGGCGCCGTGATCTAGAGATGGAGTTAGCTTCTTTTTTAAAAAATCTGTCTGGTGACTATACTCATAATACGGGAGCAGGGGAGCTAGGGAGGCAATTTTGGAATTTGTTAATTCTTACATTAGAATATTGTTGCGATCATAGTTTACATCACTGAGTACGCTAGCCTCACGTAACGGGGCATTTCTCAATCTCAAATCTACTCAACAAAATGTTACCATATCAAATTACTGGTGCCAGTGAGAGGTTCTTCGTATGATACGACCCGGCCCAGTCCACGTGACCCCACGTGACTCTGCTAGCCACCTTCACCATTCACGTGACTACTGGATTGTAAACCCAAATCGACAAAAGAGTAGCAGCAACGGAGTATCGTGTCAAAATTGAACAGCGATATTTATTTCTGTAAAAACCTCTATCTTTTGTTTTCTGTTCTTAATCTTAGCTCGTGGAATTCTCGGTATCATGTATTTGAGTGTTTCTCACAAGCTCAGGGGAAACTCCCTGACTGACAAGTATACCAGCAGGAGAGGAAATAAATTGGATAATTGCGAAAACGTGGTTTCAGAACCATTGTGTATTGTAACGGCAAGCAAGTTTTAGATATCACAGCAACCTCTGAAACGTGTGATAGTCTTAAGCACGCTGATATCTGGGAAACTTACTGGGGACGACAAGGGAGCAGAATTGAATTCCCATCTGAGTGGGACACAGCATCAGACTCGTATTGTATTGGTTAGTAATTAATAGAATTGTTTTGGTTAGTAATTAATAGAATACAATTTGATAATCGAAATTCCATTTTGTATAGTGAATCTGTGAACGTAAGTAAAATAAAAAGACTTGTCATTCTTGCAACTAATAGTACTACCATAACCTTCATGATGTTGCACTTGTATATTGTCCAATTCACCACCAATGCAATGGCTGTTTTTTTATAATGAAATATCATAATACTTGAAGTACTGAAACGTGTCACGTGTTTCAGAATTGTGTTCAAAAGGGAGTTACAGGAACTCCACTATGATGATCATGACAGAGTGTGTTGGATGTAAAGGTAACACTATCAGTACACTATACACGTGGTGCTGGAATCTGCTCCCCCGGCCCTGCCCTGCTGGCACAATCGTTAACAACCAAAACACACTTTGTGGTAAGTCTTGTTCAAATAAAACATTGTAATCCCTATGTCATATGTTGTACTTGTATGTAGTGCATGACGCATGTAGTGGTTTTTTTCGCTTTTTTGTTAATTTACTTCTAAGTTTTAGTAAATGAAATGTTTTTTGGTGGACAACATGATGATGAATAACGAAAACAAATTTTCAGGTTATTAATATAAAATCATTTTGCCTGTTGCATGGGGAGTGGGGACTAGCTAATATGTTTTTGGTTACCACGGTGATAATGACAATAGTTGCTGCACGGAAATTTCTACCTAGGAATACCTTGTGGGGATGTGGAAGAGGTTGTAGCGCGATGCACTACTGGGCCGCGCCGCGCATCCAGTCTAGTAATGCTTATCTGTTATCGCAATGCAACGTTACTGGCGAGATGCACCACTAGATCGGTGAGATGCACCACTGGGCCACGCCGAGCTGCAAAGGATTGAAATCGTCAATCAATGGAAGAGGCTGGTGTGGAAGAGGCTAAGTATATAATTAACGCGATGAAACTTTTCAACTGCAGTCCAACTTATTTCCCTAACCACCCCAGACCCCAAACCCCTCCAGATTACTGCCCACAGCAGCAAAGTCGAATGAGCTAGGAGGAAGGAAACGAATCGAACTACAATGACACGGAACTAAATTGAGCTGACTTTAGTTGCCCTCCATAATGAACTTTAAGTTTAACTTTAAGAGGTGCACAATAAAATTGAACTAGTTAGCTTGGATTTTAAAATTTGTTTACCATTGTTCATCATTTATGTTTTCTTGAGAATGTGTGATTTTTTGCACAGTACCTAATTGTCACAGTACACTTTTCCATAATTTATTAATTACTTTACTTCAAATCAGATCTAGACACATTTTTAACAAGCCAGATATTTGAAGCTACTTAAAAAATGTTTTTATCTATTATTACTAAGCTGATAAATGCAGATTTTGTAGCGCGATGCACTACTGGGTCGCGCGCGCATCAAACAATGCTTCTCGCAAACACATGCAGATCAGCGAAATGCGAAGGATTGACATCGTGAATCAAATGCAGATTCAACTATCTCCAATTGCCCAGAATTACCTAATATTTGTAGGTTTACAACCTACCAGGACGCACGCCGAGTTTTGATTGACGATGTCAACCCATCGAGATCGTTGCTCTGCGAAGCAATAATGCTAGTTCGCGCGGCGCGTCGAAGTCCTCCAAGCCGATTTGTAGCGCGATGCGTTACTGTGCCGCGCACTCAATGAGATCGGCTACTGTGCCGCGCCGAGCTGAGATGAATTGACATCGTCAATTAAAGCCGAGTTGGACACGTCGACGGTCCTAATATTTGAAACAAATACAAAATATTTTACGAGGATCACCCGTTAACATTAGAACTATATTTGTATAGAATTAGGTTGGAGGACTTCGCCGCTTCGACACGCCGCGCAAACTAGCATTCTTGCTTCGCATCGTCGATCGTTGCTCTGCTTCGCAGAGCAACGATCTCGATGGGTTGACATGACCGTCAATCAAAGAATTAGGAAGAAAGATATGCTATGGAAATTACATTTTATAGACATTGTGATAGGCGGTCTATTTTGTTATATTATCATTTTATGCTTATGAAACTAATTTAAGTACAAAGTACATAGTGATAGAATTAGTTTCATAAACTGAGGTTAGGCTAATTTTGTATTTAGCTAGTTTACGTGTTAATATTTAATTTAATAAGAAATATTTCTATTTCCAATAAACCAGTACAAAGAGAAAAGCGCATATATATAATTAGATGAATAGAGGTGGAAGGAGAGATGAATAGATGTGGAAGGAGAGATGAATAGAGGTGGAAGGAGAGATGAATAGAGGTGGAAGGAGAGATGAATAGTGGGAGGGAGATGAATAGTGAGAGGGAGATGAATAAAGGTGGGAGAAGACATGAATAGAGATAAAAGTAGAGATGAATAAAGTGAGGAAAGAAATTTGTATAGAATTAGAATTAGGAAGAAAGATGTGCTATGGAAATTACATTTTATAGACAATGTGATAAGTGGTCTATTTTTTAAAATTATTTTATGCTTATGAAACTAATTTAAGTACAAAGTACATAAAATTAGTTTCATAAGCTGAGGTTAGGCTAATTTAGTATTTAGCTAGTTTACGTGTTAATATTTAATTTAATAAGAAATATTTCTATTTCCAATAAAGCAGTACAAAGAGAAACGCGCATATTTTTTTATAGATCAGTATAGTGGATAACAAATCTTGAAGAGAATAACTAAACAAACACGCTCATTATAACAACCTCTAAAATCTTTTCAGACACCAGACGAACGTGTAGTCACTTGATCACACACGTGTAGTCCTCTCTCTGCACTTTATAAATGCCAAACAAACGCAAAATATCTTCAATCTTACTGGGAAACACTTTCTCTCGCGCCGCACCGTCGACATTATTACAAGTTTGGATTTTAATCGCGTGCTTAAAAGTTCCTGGTGGAATTTTGATAATTTAATAAGAATCAGTTGCCGTGTGAATTGGAAATAGTCGTGGTCTTGGCCAGACACCAAGACACAGATCTAATTCCAGATCGGTTGCTTATGTTCTAAATTCGCATGAATACTGCATTATCATAAATCTGTAAAACCACAGAATTTCACGAGCGATCTGAAGCCGTGTACAGGTCTCGTGTACATCAAATTTTGAGTTGTTGGCAATTTTTTCTTCTCTTTTTCTACAAATTTTAGTTGGAGTCCAAACATAAATCAGCCCATTTAAAGAAGTGCTTGCGATCGAACTCATTTTTGGTATAATTTCATTTTGAGCTCATTTTCTCATTGTCACGAGGTTATGTCCCATAAATAACTTTTCAAAAACGTGCTCAGTATGTGTTGCCTGGATAAATTTACCGTAAGGATGCTGACCTTACGAAATCGAATTTCGAAATTTCAAGTACCTTTTAAAAAGTTTTATCTCAATCCAAGTCAAGTATAACATGAAAGTTTGCCATATCTAACGTCTCCGTGTAACAACACAGAGAAAGTGTTCCCAAAGATAAGACATAAGTTGTGGAGTCAGGTTGATAATACACAGCATATATTAGACCCAGGCCCACCCAGGCCCACCTACCAACCCACTCTGATCTGTCAGCAAACCCCCTGCCCACGAACTCAACATCAACGTAAACAGTGCAACGAAAGCGATCCAAATTTAGGGTTGAACTCGTGAGAAGTTTACTCAAACAAAAGTCATGTGACTTAACAGTCACGTGACTTTTTTGCCCACGTGACGTAGTTTGTCACGTGGGCGGATGCTCACGTGGGTGGGTGGTCCTGTTCATTCCTGTCTAGAATCAATAATTAATCATTACGATTACACGGGCTATAACGCTAGATACACATGATCGAAATAATATTTGGACTGATACCAACTTTTCTTGTTATCATCAATAACGGCGATATTCTGTAACGAATAATGGTACGTCGTGATAAATTAATGACCCAATATTAACCAATTCTTAAAAAGAAGAAAATGCTCATATGTTCACAATATGACAGCTCATGATAGTACAAGGCAGGGTTGTGGGCCTTCTATCGGTTAAAACCATAAAATACACAACTTGAAACAGCTTCTTATCTCTCTCCGCTCTCACGTTCAACTACAATGAACTGAGCATAATAATACCAAGTAATCATCATAATTAATTATAATTAATTATGATTAATTATGACCAATCACATTTTACCAAGTAATATCAGGGTCAAACGATACAGTTGCCTCTCTCAAGTCTCCTTTGTAACGCGCGTAATTCCAAAAAGCGTTAATAAGTTATGCACTAGTTAAACCAAAATAATTAACAGTTTTAAAAACACCTCAAACAGTGCAAAATGTGCTCGGAAACTATCATTGATAAAATAATCCCTGAAATGCCGTAATATTTTCGCACGAAAAGTGGGAAATTGTCCCTTTTTAAGCCCAATAAATCACAAACGATTTTACAGTTGGTATATAAAGGTTGTTCTACTATTCTAAAATATCTTCATATCTGGCTCGCCGCCAATATTATCACTCCGTCTTCAAAGTGAATATACTCGACTTTCAGCGACTACCAAACTGTTACCATCTTCTTCAAACTTTCAAGATTTTGTTCAAAATTGTTAAAATTTTTCGTGCTATGACGAAGTTTTTAAATTAAGTTCACTAAAATGCGTGTGATTTCACACAACACTTATTGAACATGGAATTAACACAAAGGCTTTGCTCGAATAGTAGTGTTCGAATTAAATCGTTGGAATTCATTCAAATTTCAAAACAATAGGTGCAATTAGTCGGCCACGTTTTTAGCATCACTGCATATCGTATACGCTTTATAACCAACATCACCCCACTACACCTATCAACAGGGCTTATTCGCTCGACTATAATTTCAAAATAATGGAAATAATTATGGGTAATTGGTTATTAGTAATATTGCATCTCATACCTACCCGCGGAGAGGGGTTTATATTACGCCATTTCAAATATTCACGAAGTTTTGTATATTTTCGGGGAATTTATTGTCCCCCGAGATAATAAAGATGTGGGTAAATTGGACCTCATTGAACATGGAAGGTACACGCAATGAAGGTGTTTATGTAGGAGCAATTTATGTGTCCTTTATGAGGACGGACCAGGGAAAGGAGCGGTTACATTCGACTTGCTATTAGCTCAATATTAACTGGAGTTACCTTCACAACAAATGAGTTGCGACTATGAATATATTATTCCAGCTCAGAAATTTCGGGGGAGCTTGAATTACATAAAATTTTGTCCGAAACGGACTTGTCTTTGGTCTACATAACATTGCAAGATGATGGGAGTATACAGTTTGGTAGTATCGCAAAATCACACATCAGAATGGGCACACTGAATCACACAGAATGTGATCACCAAAATCACAACGATAAGGCGATCTTTGTGTCACACTCTGCGACATACAGCTGCTGGCATCCTAACGTGTGATCACTGCACAACATCCACACTCTCCTATCACAGGACGATGATCACGTGACAGGTGACCAGGTACACCCTGACAAACATATTTCAACTCTTCAAACAGAGGATAAAATTGGAATTACTATTCTTAAAAAACCAAAAAATATAGAGATCATCATCATCATCATTAAACATAATATTGTCTATCATATATATATCTTAAGATCTCTTCTTATCATCTCATCATCACTTGTATCTAATAAAAACGACAAAAAGCACAAAACAAGCTCATTAAACCGCGGGGTCTCTTCAAACACGTGAGACATGTGAGACCTTGGAGCAGAACCACAGTATATAACTAGATAGAGGTTAACAAAGTATGTGTGTAAACAGAGATTGTACACGTGCGCATGCACCCGTTAAACATGGCGTGCGCGCGCGACTTGCAATTCTGCTGTGTATGTATGTGTGAAATTCATCACATCATACCCCGGTTCGACCTTCACAGAGCTCTCGTGACAAATCAGTCAGGGTGTCTGAAAGACTTTGGAGGTATTTTGCAAAAGCTGTGTGGGAGTGAGAGGTGAAGGTCGGAGAGGAGTATTTGTATGTGATAGTAACTTTAAGTAACGTTGTGGATTCACATACAGTGAGGTGTTAGCTAATAACTGCCACTGCTGATCGGTGAGATATAATATAACCACCTACTAAAAATTCGGGAGAAATATAATTTTACAACAATTTCAACAGTAAGTAAAAATTTTGCAATGGACACGCTATTTAACAGTTTTAATAATAGACCTTAATACAAACTAAAAACAACAATGTTGCGACGCATCTTAAACATAGGATGAAATCGCACAACAATTTTCAAAACTAAGACTTAAAACACTAAGAGAGAACATAAATTTTGACTCGATAAGTTCGACTAATAACACCTCAAGTGTAGGAATAATAGGGGATACCGGGGGCTCGCTCTTTGCACGTGGTGTTGCACGTGGGGGTGGCGAAAAGTGCAACAACGAACCGATCTTGAGACGCACGTGCAGCGCTAGTATCAGCGCTTTGCGCGTGCCCCCGGTAGGTCCCCCATACATTTGCCCAACAATACGGTAAAATAGCTTTCACAGAAAGAATAGGAGGAATGTTGACGTATATGAAACCACATTCGGTCACCAAAACCGGCAACTTGGGGCAGACAGTCTTACATAACCTTAATGGTCATATATACAGCCAACGAAAATATATTGAACTGCATATAGCGCATATAAGATATATATAGTATGTATATATATATTTTGCAACCATTGTGCACTATAAGGGGGTTGCACTATACTCAAAAATGTGCACAATGGTGCTAAATTATGAAAAAACAAACGTGTAGCTGCACGGCACGGTAGGATTTTGTGCAGGGTGCGCGCATCTCCACAGGGAGCTTGCGCAACATGCGGGTCTCTGTAGAGATTGCAGTACAAACCCATGCGACTCCACGGTGTGATACGGGATAATCATAACATTTTTAGCACGTGGAGCTAGAGTATTCGGGTGGGGCGCGCGCCGTGCAGCGACATCACTCCTGACATTGAACCACATTAAAAGGTCGTGTACATGCGTTTTGACGCCACTAACATAATACAACAAAGAAAGATCAAGACGCGAAAATCTACTCTAAAAGAGCTCCTAGATATATATTGATATCGTCTGCTGCGCACTAAATAATAAATGCTAGACCTCCCTGAACCATTAACACTGTAATACTGTCTCTCGGGCCGCCATCTTAACAAATTGTGCCTATACAATTATCATGGCTATATCGGAGTTAGGGGGGCCGACAATTCGTACACCGTATGAACATATTTATAGATATAACCAATAAATATATAGACGTGTATCATTGCGGAGCACTGTCAACTGGTAGGAGTCGAAGATAGTACATGCAAAAATCTTGGATCCCCTGAGACAGAGGATTGCAGGGGCTGATGATATATCTCAATATAGCCCTGTAATTTCTGAGTACATGAGTAAGATCAAAAGATTGTCTGCGACTCCCAAGTTGAAGGCTGGTTAACTCGTGAGTTAGTACAAGCTTTACACGGTAAACTTAAAAATCATTCTCCTGAGCCCCGAGGAGGGGCACAGGACCAGCGACAGAACAGTGTCAGTTCGCGTGCGAATATACCGAGACGCACTTCCGTGCACGTGCGTGAGTGAACACGGCACGTGCAGGGCGCGAGACAGGACATCACTCGCTGGGCGTCAACAAGCTACACAGTTGTAGGTGCGTGTCAGGCCAGCACTCCAGGTTACCTTCAACTGAGGGAGGACTCCAGCTTAATACTGGGTATTTGGAAGGGTACCATATTGACCGGTGATTGCTGGATGCCCGGCCAGATCCCCCCCAGGTTTGAGCCCGTGTTGTCCGATATGAGAGATGAGGCCGCTGTTTGCCCCGCCGCCGCCGCCGCCGCTCCCGTAGCCTGTGCAAAACGGAACTGTTGTTCCGGGTTTAGCCCGCCCACGTATCCCGGCAAATTGGTTATTGCCGCGAGATTTTGCATCGCTGAAATGAAGAGAGTGTTACGATCACGTCTGGCACTGAAAGACAGAATACAGAGACTATTTTTACAGGGACTAGGTTTTGGCCTGTTATAACTTGGTTACAAGGGGGCAGTTAAAATTTCAGAATTGGACTTAACAGAGAGTCAACAGTATAATTGTGTCAAGAAATAATACTATAGATTTATATTTTGATAATATATTGCCAATTATGGGCATCTTTTTTATTATGTTTCAATACACACAGCATTACAAAGGATTTTTAAAGAAATTTTTATGCAAGGAGATTCGTTCTTTTCTGCTACAGTTATTTTTAGATTTCAGTGCAAATTTTCTATTGCACTGGTTTATGCATGATTTTATAGTGATACATTCACTGTCTCACTATGAGCAGGGTAATGTAGCCTTTTTTAATAACACTTTTTATCATAGCTTATATTTATGCAATCTGAGATACGGGGCATATAAGATCACCTTTCTGGTCAAATAATAACAATATCATCATGTTTAAAGGCATATATTTATGCTTTTATTCAAAGAGCACTGCAACGTCATTAGGGTAAGCGGGATGTGACCATTAAACAGCCTCAAACTAAGGAACCTTGCATTTAAGCTCGGATGTGCGGGGGAGGGAAACAAAAACATTGCACTCAGCTCTCAAGCGAAAATTTTCACAATGAGCGCTGAATATCATTGGAGGGAAGTTGTAACACAATGGGGAACACAGTATACAGCTGTTGTATTGGGGACAATGGGAATATAACATCACGGTGAGGGATGTTAGCTAGTGTAAGGGATATTGTAATGTAGGTTTAAAAGTATTATTAATATTCTTGTTTTATCATTGTGTTTTAATTTTGTGCTGTCCATTTGTTTGATTTCGTTCATTTAATTTGTAATCGAATGGTTTTATGATCATATAATTATATGATTGACAATTAAAAGATCCCCATTAATTATAGTACAGAGTGGGCCAAAATTCATTCGATTACAAAAATAATGGTCCATAACTCAATATGTGACCGTTGTAACATTTAGTCAGAGGGTCTAGTTATCAAAAAAGCTAATTTTGGGCCACCCTGTACAATCAAAACTGATTAAAATTAATGCTGGGTTTAAATTGAACGGGTTGAGTGTTATAGTACAGAATTAGAACGCACTATTTTCCCCCAAAACAATCTCACATGCATCATGAAATCAAACCAAATCACAAGCCCGAAAGAATCACGTGGTAAACGACACCACTCGGGTGATAGCAAGTCACGTGACTACACGTGCAATTGATGCGCGGCTACACGTGCAATTAATCAAATAACGCGCGAAAAAACGCTCAATTAGTCGAGTAACACGCGAAAAGGCTTGCAAACGGGCGATTGTAAACGGGCGATTGAACGTGATCCACGAATCATCGTCCAGGATATTTGGCGGCATTTCTTATGTGAGTAAGAAGGCCGCATATGGAGCCCAAATAAAGGTTTCCAGAGACTGGCTATACCTGGCATTCTCAAACAATAGTTTCTATGACTATGATATTGCTTATAATTATAGTCTATAGTTTAGTTTACGTAAAATTCCTTTTATTATAATGCAAACTCTTACACTGCAATTGGAAAGCCATGTGGGCTCTCAACTTGGAAGCACTTTTCACACTCAGCAATCTTTGTGAAGGGGGCATTGTTACAGTTACACACAAAACTGAAGCAGGCACAATTTATTCATCGGAACATTAGCGGTACGTGTCGTGAACAAAGCTATACTGAGCTTCAGCATAGAGTATGTGCTGTTTTAGAGGAGGCATTTTAACCGAGATTTTGGTAAATTTTGTTTAGAATGTTAAAATGGGCGTTCCAAATCCGATAAAATTTATGAGGGGCCATTAGAGGTGCGGCCAACCGCAGGGGTATTAACCGGTACAGGGTTAAATTTCAACAATTTCACACAGGAATGGATACGTCATTCGACATAGTTTCACTTTAATTATATCATAGAATTAAGACTTGATCTCAGAACTTCAGACCTTGCGGTAGAATTGACAGAATTGAAGCGATTAGTGAGAATTTGGAAATATGATGACATATTTAATTTAAATCAAACTCTGGGTTGAGCTATTCTTAGTGTATGGGGAATGTTACCAATTGATGACCTTTAACAGGCTGAAGGCCGGATTTAGCTTCGGTGTGACGTACTTCCCCAGGGCCTAATGTTGTAGAGCTGGCTGGTCACTTGTGTATTTATAAGCCCCTTTATTGTCATCACTGTCCCTTGTCTAGGCATTTTAGGTCATCCGGGTATTTATAGTAATATTTTTAGAATGTATTGTGTAATTCTGTAAATTTGATTTATGTAAAAGTTATCACAAAGTTGTTTGAACTTTCGTGCGTAAAGGGGTTTCGCAACGATGATTTAAGATTACTTGAAAATACACGCGATTTGCTTGCTGCCTCGCGTCATAGCACGTGTGCGCATCACCAGCACGTGTTACACCAAAGTCACGTGACACGCCATCAAACCCTGATCCGAACATGCACACGAACACGGAGGTGCTGAACGGTTAATAAACTGACCCTAACTCACATGCTGCGGAACTGTAGGGGAGTGATCCGAGGCCAGACATTTCGCTAGCGACCGAGGCAGTGAGGGCTGAGGGGTAGAAGGAGGATGTGGAAGTGTTGGGTGAGTGCCAAGGAGCTGCAAGGTACTGGTGGTTCAGACCGTGGTAGTTAGGGTTTATCGTAGACAGGTCTGCTGAAAGGGAAGAGGTCAGTGTGCCGTGAGAGTTCAGGAGATTGGACTGGGTCATCCAGGGCAAATCCGCTACCCGTGGGCCTGGAGGGGGGTGGAGACCGCTATATTACGAAAATAATTTAGGAGGAAATATCTGGTCCTGAAACCAGTGGGTAAATACTGGGCAAAATAATTGGGTTTACTTACTGACAGCCGATAACCTTAGTCCTCCAATAGCTGAAAGAGTTTTAAATGTTAGATCAACACATTAGTTCAACAACAAAAATAAGATAAAAACTATATAATTAATAATCTAAATTGTTAGAAAGAAGTATGATAGCACCACCGGGAAGGACAGATAAGCTGATTTAGTTGCTCAAATCATGCACTATTTAGTGTCACTGCCATGATTAGCTTATATGCTGCATTTTCTGTTGCATTGAACTTTAATTTGTTCAGTTTTAAACTCGACGCAATTTGCTCAATGCTAAGTACGAAAAAATTGGCAAGCCTAAGTGTTTTTGCGATGAACTTGAGGATTCTATACAAATGTTTTGTTTAACTATGAATTAAATCTACCCTTCGTGTGATTCCTAACGTACCGGCCTGCATGGAAAACCCTGAATAATAACAGTATTTCTCATATCACCCTGCAAATGTGCAACATCACGCACTGTCTGTGCCAAGTCCGCCACCGTACACAGTCCAATTTAGGAGCTACGTGTTAAAAAGAGGATAGGGTGAACTGTCAGGGGTCCCAGAAGAGGGGTAGTGAGGGGTAGTGAGGGGTACTGGGTCGCTCTCAGAGGAAGCACTGTGTTTAACCAGGTGATGAGGACGGGCCCTGCACTGACGTGTTAGGTTCTGTACCCTAACACCTTGTTGGAGGGAGAAGGAGGGATCCCCCACATTTTGTCACTGTAACTAAAAGTGTTGTAAGTGCCAAAATGCGTTAAAGCCCCCCTGTTCAACTCCACTGAGCTAGGATCAGGACAGTTCGACTTCTCACCAGGTCCACCCAGCTACTCCAGTTATACGGGGTTTTATGTTAGGAACACAGTGCGCAGCACCTGGGAGCCTAAAAAGCTGTGCCAAAAACATGACACTTATCGGAACCTACCTCTTATCAGAACAGCCGACATAACTTAATGATTACAACATGGTACCAAAATAGGAAGCAACGTGTGTAATTACATTTATGCACATAAAACCCATGACTTCTGAGGAACCCTGAAGAGAAACGGTCTCCCAAGTTGACATGATTTCACCGGGAAATTGACACCGGGTAGAGAGAAAAGTCTATGAGGGGGCGGGGAGACTCAATAATCACGATAGAATTCGACAAAATTAGCGTTATCCAAATCAGATCAGGACCCAACTCGTCGCCACGCAAACCAGCAATTCCACTGTCTCGCGAGCCAGGGATAATTTGATTGCGGCAGAGAGAGGATGTTTTCTTTACATATATCTGATTTTACGGCACACTATTAATACCAGCATGACCTCCACATTTTCGGACGTATTACTGAATTAACATTTCCTAGAGGAAAGAGACCCGACCAAGGATCCGCCAGTAAAGATACGTTGCACATGAGACATATTCAGCAGCAGGGCGAATTCAGAATATATTACACATGCATCTCTCCGCATATATATGGGATATGTTGAGAGCTAATTCAGCATGTGTACAGGAGGGGAAGATAGGCAGATAACTTGACCAGGAATTAATTAGACGTTAATTAGAGGGCACGTGGGCCGGGGAGAAGAGAAACAATAGAGAGGAAGGGTAGATACACAGCTCATAATATTATCTGGATATGTTATTATCATCTCCAGTCTCCCCAGACCTGTAGTATTATCGGGGGTAGGTTTCGGTATACCGTCGGTCCATTAAGTCACGTGGTATACCATCAGTCCACGTGGACATGACAGTAACCCTGAACTGGCTTCTAAAATGCAGATCTCTCGAATTGAGTATCACATATTTCACTGGTCAGCTCCCTGTGAACCAGACATGTAAAATGGCAGACTTTAGATTAGGCACTACCTAGAACCCCTAAGTGGAACTCTCAGACTAGGCTACAATTCCCAGACAACCCCCTGAAGATATTATCTGAGACTTAACCCCTGCCAGAACTACCTAGATAATCCCAATCTCCTGCCAGAACTACCGACATAATCTCATTCTCGGCTCTCCCGGGCTCGCCTCTCATAAGTGTTGTTTCGACTGTGAAGATTACCGACCACATTGAACACCACGCCACGGACGTGTTCGCCAGGAGAAACATGATATAATATGAGCACAATATGATAGTATTATGTTCTTTTACCCAATTTACACCACCAGCACTCAGCAGGACTCCCAACAGACAAGCAAATATGTTTAGGTTTTAGACAGGTATAGGACCTCATAAGGGTTTATTCACTTCCGACACTGCACTAATCTCCACATTTACCGTGAGCTGCCTTGGTCAGACAACACTAAATCTTACACTGCAGCAGCTCTGGTAATATTCCTCAGTACAGACTCCAATAGTGCATACCGGGCAGGGAAGCGGGACTGAAGATATTTTCAGTCGGGTAAAACAGTCTTTTCAATTTTATACAGGCCGGGTTATTAAGACGGGGGAGCAGTTATTGTAACGCAGTGATTTCACTCGCTAAAGCTAATGATGCGTCACGTATTATATTCAATGTTTATTCAGGATATGGTTAAGAGGTGTAGGAGAGGGGGGGGGGGGGGGGGGGGGGGGGTGGTTTTAAGTGGTATAAAATTACGAGTGTTATGATAGTGTTTCAAGGTGATATATTTCAGAATTTAGAGTCTTGAACCTCTTTTTAGATGTTTTTTTTTGTGGTGAACATGGAAGAGAAATGAGTAGATATTCACCACAAGGTTGTCTAGAAATTTTACAAAATCGTGCAGGGTAGTTAGCTACACTCTCGGACATGGTTAAAATATGAAAACTTGTAAGTTTATGAGTGCTCCGTACTACTGGAGATGTACATAACGAGCAGTAATCATTTAAACCACTGGTGCAATGTTTACAGAAGCGCTTGCCCATTACATTGAGATTTAAAACCAGTTTTAAACTATCGACTGGTCTATTTCTATCGATGAGTGCACATCTTCACGTCTCTTCCTTCAATCACCTGTCACATAGTTCAAGTCTACAATTCAGGTCTCATATGTGCCACAACCCGTGTCTACTTCACACACACACACTCACCAGGGGTACTACACCTACTGCCACACAAGTTGCAACAATTCGTCCGCAACAAAATGTCCTGCAGCAGTTATAGTAGCTCCTGTCAAGAAAACAGTTTAAAGTATTTCGACGCTCCACACACACACACACACACACTCACTCACATAATCCGTCCACCAAATATATAGTAATATAACGAGCAGCACAACACATGAGCATTTTTAACACATTCTAGATACTCGTACATGTACTAAAATACCATGTAAAACATGTTTTAACACACAACCCCCTGTTCTGTTAGGAGAGTTATAGTGACACTGTAACAAAATGGGAAGTTTGATATTTGGGTTAGATCTGCTGAGCACGCTAAACCCTTTCAAGGAGGTCGCTATAGATGATTGGTACGACCAGCTTAACCGCAGCTTCATGTTCGGACTCACTGTGCTTCTAGGTCAGTTAAAAATAGATTTCTCTCTCTTTAGCTAGCCTGCTATAGTCTGACAGCAAGCGACATAATATTCCTCCATTTTTTGACAATTTACGTGACTTAACGTTTTTGACAAATTCTTTATTCCTCTCCAATGTATGTAAAGTCGGTCGCCTTGCCGAAGACAGGAGTAGAAATACTTTAGGGGTGATGTAACTCTGACACTCTGACAACAAAGTAGAGAGAGAGAGAGAGAGAACAATCCCGTGATGATAGTTCAACAGTCCAGATCTGGATGTATAAAGCAGCCCACAATATAGAGACAGTACCCAGTATAAATTACTGAATCACTGAATTAGTTACAGAAGCGACATTATAATGTAGCTCCAGGACCCCAGGTTCCAAGGGCGGCTCTCCAAGGGAGACGATATAGTCTACATTTCATACCGTAATGTTCTATTGTTCAACTTAACCACGTGATAGTGAACCATCTGGTCGCTGTAAATTGGATAATGCGGATAATAGTGGGAGGTGCGTGTGCCAAGGTTAGGCATGATGTCATACACTGCACATATCACTGTCTGCTAAACTTTACTTTATCAGCACTCAACTTTACTTTTTACGCACTAACTTTTACTTTTTTCAGCGTTTGCTATGACGGCAGCGGCCGCGTCAGGCAAAACAATTGCTTGCACTGGATTTGAAAAGTTCGAGAAATCGTTCAGGTGAGTTGCTTGCAGATTAAGTGAAAAGCTTCAAATCCTGCAACCACAGACTGATCTGTAAATCATAATGAACCAGCTAAGTTTTCGTTCCGCCCTATTCACGTACAGTTATGTGACTGACGGACCAATTAAACTTAGGACATTTTTCGGTTTCAACGGACTATATTAGCTGGTGGATAGAGGTTTCACTGTAAATGTGGGCTGCCAGGTTCAAGAAGACATGTTTCCCGGACTTGGTGTCTGACAGACTTGTGATAGTAGACAGCGGGGAAGGGAGAGTGTAATTGTGGAGGTGCCAGGGGAGGGGTGGTGCGCACAATGTGCGGGTGCTAGGGGCAGGGTGACGCGCGCAACATGTCCGAATCACCGGCCACTCTCCAGCACTTAGGTCCAGCGCTCAAGCTGTCAAATTCATCACATTGTCGACAATAAATAACACAAGTGATTCCCGGGGAGTTAGTGCCGGACGGTCCGAGCTAAAATTGTTAGAATTTGTCGGGATTTGATCTGGAGGTGTGATGGAGCTGTCAGCCGTACTAACTGCACCAACTATTCAGTGAAGACTACTGTTGGACACAGGGATTGTACACGGTAGCTGAAGCGTACCACTACAGCAGGGACGTTATCCCCTACCCTGGAGTAGCTCCCGCTAATATGCCCGCCAAATGTCTCAGGTTTGTGCAGCCCTGGTAATTTCTAATGTTTGTTACCCACTTAAATATGTTCGTAAAATGACTCAGGCTTATTACCAACCTCAAAATGTCCGCCAAATGTCTTAGGTTTGTACCCCGCCAATTGTCCGCCAAACTTCTTAGGTTTTAACCCCACTTATATGCCTAGTTTATTTCTCCCGGGTTTATTTCCCGCCAATATAAATATATTGATTCCATACTTAGATAGAAACCTTTTCAATGGTGTGGATGATGGAAGTTAAAGAGATAAAGTTATACCAGTTATACTAAAAGTGCAACAAATATATCTCCTCTAAGTGAGCTGGTACGCCTGATGACGGGTTATAAACCTCCCCCCAATTTCCTGACCCTGAAACCAATTGAGCTGAAGGAGAGTGTCCGACATTCAGTGCCACTGGACACCTCCTCCTCTGACACATTCTTCTACGCAGCTTAACTTTTATCTAACCGGCACCGAGCCAATCACTCTAAACTATGGCCAAGAAATAGCCCACTTTTTTGATAATTTTGACATGTCAGTTTCGGTTGTGTCAGAAATAGACCGCCCACACAGCCACCACAAATCGAGTAAGCTTGGTCTTTTTCAGCCCAGACGCTGCAGGAAGCTATGAATCAGGGATTCTACCAGACCCAGAAGATCTGGTGAACTGTGGTGGGGACTTTACTCAGACCCGTGTCTTCCACCTGTGGTACCAGTGGGTTACCCCGTATCTGTGGATGGTGGCCGGGTCCTTCTACTTCCCTTATCTGGTCTACAAGCGGTACGGTTTCGAGATCAAGCCTCTTCTGAAGATTCTAAATGATACTCAGTACAGGGATAATGAGGAGGAGCTGGAGGGGAAGGTAATATTGCTGTGTTATTATGGTGGTCACGTGTTATTGGTCACGTGTTATTAGTCACGTTCTATTATGCTAGTCACGGTAGAAATAGAGGCCTGTCTATAAGCAAACAACTGTACGTGGCTTTTCCATCAAGCTTCAATTCAACTTGATTACCAAATTAGTAACTATTTAGTCTATTCATACTGTCTCACTTAATACTGGAGTAATCTGAGGAATGAGGAATGATGTAAGTACCCCTAGAACCATATTATCCGGCAACATCGCGAACAGGGTGCTCCATTCTCCCATCTTTCATGAGCCTCATAGTTTCGATTCGGTACCACTAATGACTTGACTCATATTATAGGATCACTGTCGTCTGTTTCAATATTTTTTATTGTAACGGCCTTTTATAGCACTTGAAAAGAGCGTACAGGAAGCAATGTGTAGTACTCCTCAGTTGTTTACTCCACAATAACCACATGGAATACTGGTAAAGAAGGAGGAGGTAAAGTGGCTAAAACATAAAATATCAAGTACACACCAAGTGGCGGTTTTAAAACGAACGATAATGTAAAAACACATGAAACTGATTTTCACACTACTCATTATTATTCAACGTGTAAGTAAAGACACACTTCTTTACAGGTGGAACGAGCAAGTGTGTGGCTGTACCACAGACTAGCAGTGTGTATCAGTAAGACTCCTGGCCCGGGTATGTCCCTTATCCGGAGACATGGTGTTGGACTCCTCTTCATCGCTATCAAGATATCCTACCTGGCTACATCCTGTATCATCATGTGGACTACTAGTCTCATGTTCGAACTTGCAGATTTCAAGCTGTTCGGGTAGGTACATACCTAGTACATACCTTATTAGTACATACCTAGAACATACCTAGTACATACCTTATTACATACTTTCTAGGTACAGTACAAACCTAGTAAATACTTTCTAGGTACAGTACAACCCTAGTACATACCTTATTACATACCTTCTAGGTACAGTACAAACCTAGTACATACATAGAACAGTCTAGTAAGAGTAGCTGTTTCATATTTTCATATTTAAAGCAGTTCAGCTAGGTACATACTTTGAACGGAGAGAGAGAGGTTATGATTTCAGTCTTTGAGTAGTTCACAACGTTGAAATGTGTACTACTGTGGCGGTGAAAGATTTCCACCTTGGGTCCAAGATAACACGTCGTCACGACCCATGTTTTTAACCATACCTTTAGGGCTCAAACATCACTTGTCGACAAGTCAACTTGAACTCAAGTCTATTTTAATATAACCTGGGTTTGCTACCGCTCATTTTCTTGGTTGTTCTCAGGTGGGTTTGGGCGGCTAAACAGTGGCCGGATCCCCCGGGGAACACAACAAGCATCAAAGATCTCCTCTTTCCTAAGATGGTGGCGTGTCAGATCAAGAGATGGGGAACCACAGGGCTGGAGGTTAGTTGAAGTGCTGGTTAAGTTAAGTGCTGTTAAAATCCCACCTTGTTAGGTGGGAAACTTGAGACAAATGACAAAGGGCAGTGTCCAGGAAATAGGTGAGAAAGTTTAAAGTTTTCCTGTCGCCACCCGTGCGAAATTTAAAGCACTAAGTCCCTTCCAGCCTTGAGCCACTTTGCTCAGCGCTCAAATGCAGACACAGCTTTATCAGCCAGAAACACTTTTGTAAGGGCTCCCAGATTCGTGCGAAACTTCTGATTCAAGGAATTATCACGGTCGGACCAGGGTCTGGATGCCAAGCAAAAACTAGAACGTGAAGGTTGGGCGCTGGGAGACAACATTCTTCTAGACTAGACGGTCCGGTTTTTCTTAAAACTCGTAACTGTCTCTGAGACATTAGACTGAAAGTGTATTTTTGGGATAATAATTCCCCGCTCCAGTTTTAAATTTCCAACTCTTCCCGCTCTGACCCGCTCCATGTTTTCAGGTGGAGCATGGAATGTGCGTGTTGGCCCGGAACGTCATGCATCAATACATCTTCCTAATCCTGTGGTGGGCGCTAGCTGCCATGATTGTGGTGAACGTGTTCAACGTTATTGCAGGGCTGATAAACGTTTTCTTTAGACAGGTAACCAGCGCTCCTAATACTCCTGCTACACGAACATAGTGTTGAAAATATCCCACATATCCTCTCATTTTACATTCTTAATTATTCCAATTGATCAGCAAATTAGCTGGGGAGACCTTACAATGGCCATGCTGTTGGTGCTCGCGGAGCGGTGCTCGAACTCAGCCTACACTAGCTGTACTCCCGGCTGACGAGCTCAATTACTAATCATCAACACTAGACCGTAGAACAGTAAATTTCAGCGTACTTGGAACTCTGGAGTCGTTGTATGGCTTGCCTGTAGGATGGGTTTAAACACAGGAACTAATCTGAGGGAGCTTTAGTACAGGACTTGTTACAGTATAAGTACGCTGTAAAGTCAGGGTCAATTCATCCTGGAAATATGAAGTATAAAACTGAGAATTGCACGACCGTATAATGAAGACGTCATAATACATTGTTGTTATAAATCGGTAAATAACTTTCTGATCCAATGCTTCATTTACTATCGTATAAGACTACGTCATGTACACTGATCATCATACACCAATCATCCTACGATGATCATCTCACACTCATTATCCTACACACTCATTATCCTACACTCATTGACGTTCAAACGTTTTTCCTACACTTACTTCCCGGGACTTATATTCCCACACCCAATATCTTACACTAATAATACCAAACTTAGTATCCAACACTCGCTACACGATCATTATCCTACCCTCAATATCCTACACTAATGATCCTACATTAACTCATCCTACCCCAGGGTTCATACCAGCAGATGTTGGCCCGGACGTTCTGCAGGCACAAGGCAGCTTACAAGCTAGTTTACGACAACATAGGCACCAACGGACGGATCATGATCACAATGCTCATGACCAACAGTTCGCCAGTGTCGTTTGAGAAGATCATGGACCGAATATGCCCAAGGCTGGTGGAGAACTGTTTAGATGACGGCAAGCGGCGCTGATCAGGATAGTAGCTGGCAACTCATTGGTTCTAGAACATTTCTCCCGCTCCTCATCCATTCCCCAGAAAGAGCCGACAGCGGGACGGAAATCTCCCGGAAATGCCTCCCGATCGAGCCCCAAGGTACCCGCCTGTTTCTCGCTCACGTGGGAGCAGGAACGCTACATCACGTTTCGTACCTTAACTCGATCAGACCTTGCAAGGAGACGACCCTAGACACCACCAACAGACACACTTTGTGTGACTTGTCTGCTCTGCAGTACGAATTAGACTGGTCTCAGAAATCCAGTCAATTGCCTGGTCATGGTCTGGCTTGATTATCACTATTGTTCGTGAATACCCGGGCACACTCCTGCTGTGCTGTTCAGCTCGGAGTTACATTGGGAGTTGATGGGATTGTTTGCGGAGTATCAGAGAACTAAAGTGTTTAGTATAATATTCATCTGTGTGTGTGTGTTTGTTTGTTACAGAGACTTTCAGTAGAAATATCTCATAACCTTATATCTGTTTCACCTTTAGACAAAGTTAAGTTTACTTTAATTGTACAAATATGGCTAAATGCTTGAAGTGCAGAAAATCAGATTATCCCCAAACTTCCGAGAGTTTACGAACATATTACTTGAATATTCTGCATTTTTATAAATATTACATCGGATGCTCGGCTGATTGGTGCCGGCCTCGGAAGTCGAAGGCAGGGCGAGTTACAGCAGCCACAGCCTCGAGTTTTTAATACCGACCAAATACCAGGAAACATTCTTGACATTCTGAGGTAGACAATCTGGCGACAGTCTACGGTCAAACTCATCCCGATACCGTATTCGCCTTCTAGCGCTATTCCGCGGAGTGCTATCATACTTACAACAAAAGAGGAAGATTCTACACTTGCGAGAACGGAGTTGAAATTAGAATGTGCCTGATCTAAGAGATAGAATGTAAAAAAGAAAGATATTTCAGCCTACCTTGGGAATAGTTCTTGCACCCCTTAGAGGAAGCGGCATTCCTGAAGCTTTGTGGTAAGTTCAGAGCGTTTCTGTTCGTCATGGACATGGAAACATTTTCGCTAATCCTCTCAAGGCTCTTTTTCAAGGCAGTGGAGGCGAGGGAGCCGGTCGAGAAGGCGTTGACGGCGAGGGCGTTGGATACCAGCGAGTTGGAGGCTTGTGATAAGGTAGGGTTAACTCCGATTGACAGGTACTTTGAGTCAAGTTTTAAGCTGTTGGCGGGTCGGTTCTGTCTCCAGAACTCACGGCGTCGTCTGATCTTGGGGGAGGTGGGGTCCAGTACGGCACATAGGAGGAGACATGCTATGAAGTCGTCTGTATCAATGTCCGGCACGCAGTCCTCTTCTTCTTCTTTGGCTGCTTCTGTCTCGTTTTCTTTGACTTTCTTCTGGGCTTTGTCCTGGAGAGAATTTTGTTATGATGGTGTTTATTGGTTGATCAGAATTTGTATTAAACTGTAATGTTAACATCGTTTAAAATGTGACATGTAAAAAATGACAAAGGCATGTAGCCGGAACGTCGACAATATCTGGTGTATTTCAACTGACTGGAGACTCTCGTTTGTTCACTTTTTCCAAGTAAGTATGTAGAAATTCTACAAAATTAAAATGTAAGCTACATGAAAAAACCAGATTCTCAAACCAATCCAAAATTTAAAAATATTCACTGAAACTCACTGATTCGGCTGAAGGGAGACGTTTCTTAGAAGCAGAAACGGGAGTGGTGGGGGTAGAATTGGGTGACTCTTCTCCCTCGTTAACCCTTATAACTTGTTCGAGTTGCTCCATGTTCTGGCCTGGATAGATGGTTTTTAATAATTTAATTATTAACACTTTCAATTAACACAATTCATCATTAACACTTTGACTCAAAGATGACATCATAAAATAGCATTTAGATACAAATGAGACGGTTTGATTTTAAACTTGGACTCAAATACAATATTATAAATTATAATATAGCAATTAGCGTTCGGATACAAATTAGACGGTTTGATTTTAGACCTGGACTAAAAGATGATATTTGGATACAATATCAAACAGTTGCAGTTCTGTTTGGATAATGGTGAGCTTTTATGAAGGTACCCGGTAGATGTCTGGCTGGTTTGGGTTAATTTGGTGATTGTGAGAGAGTCTTTTGTTTGTCACATTCACATAATTTTGATGTCAAAATATTTCGTCGCCTACAAAATTTTAAGTTCAAATTCTACGCCCGACGATTTCGTAAGCGCAAAGTTTTTGGTAACTTCTTGGGATAAAAGGTATTGAGTTGAGTTTTTTGACACTTTTCTTAAGTCTGAAAGATACCGGCCTTTACTATAACTGACCGTTAATTTTTCGAGGAAAGCGTAAAAGTTATTACAGGGTCCAGAAAATTGCCACAATTAGCAAGTTAGTTACAGCTTCAAAGAGCTTTGTTTGAGAACTGCTCAGCTATTTGGAAAATAGTAACTACAATGAGAATTGAGAAGGCTCATAAGGTTTGGAGGCGTGACTAAGTCAAGTACTTTATGTTGAAAAACGGGAGAATTTAGAAACACTAAACAGCATTACTGAATATTATCAACAACTTTGGAATGTTCATACTGCATAACATCACTGAAAACTATCTACATAATTTCGAATATGATTATTAACAACTATAAATAATCTCAACAAATAGATCAAAATAGATAATTTCTAATATAATTGATAATAATTCTTCATTAAAATAACATACCTGGGAACATGAGAGTCAAATGGGTTTTGTTAGAAAGTAAACTGACACTATTATCTTCAGAATTGAGATGTAACATTTATGAGAGTGAACATCCAACTCGCTAAATAGGTAGTTTGGTTAGGTTTATCATGAAAGGTTACTTTGGGTTTATCATAAATATTCAACAAATATTAGGGATATTAAATAACATTTGATATTATTAAAGTTATGGGAAATGGTTACAAAATTGTGATCGGCGGTTGACCGTAAACGTTTAACTTCAAAATATGAATATTAAACTTGGTAACCTAGTAATATCGATCATAAGTTAACTTGAGTGTCCACAATATAATGTTAGTAGTTTTAGGGTTACTAATAAATAAAAGCGATTGCATCAGAATTATCCGTTCGCACATTAATGATTTTTAACTGCCGTAAAAAAATGTCAGCCCAATTTATCCCCCCCCCTCCCCACTACCATGCAAAGGCTCAACTTCACGTCGGGGTGACACAAATAGTATCCCCATGTGCACAAAATCGATGTGGTTATTCTTCTGACGTCTAATGGACGCGAATCGGGGTCCAACAAAAGAAAATAATATGAAAGCAAACTAGGAGATCGAAACAAAATATGTGGGAAAGTTAAGAGAACACCCGCCTGTGTTATATAGCCACTATCCAGGGGTTAACACAGTGTACCAACATACAAGTAGAATTGTAGTTTACTGAAGAAAAGAGGGCTCTGCAGGAAAATGGGGTTTATAATACATATGGAATAGGCCGGAGTTAGCGTAATATATGTGGGTACGGCTGTGCTGGAATATACGCTATGTCGACACTGGAACATGGCCCAGTGCTTCAGGCTGGGCTTATATAATCACAATGTCGACACTGGAATATGGCCCAATAATATCTACAAACATGCCTGTACTAAGCTAAGTGTAAAGATTAGAGCTCTATAAGACCTTGCAATCATTTTAACTAACTCTGGAGCAGAGAGTAAGGGACAAAAGAAATCGAATAGAAATTAAGAGTTAAAATAAACTAAATAGACTCAAATAAAGGGCAGTACCCGCTGTAGTGTAGGGTCCCAAATTCAGTGTTGAGTTTGAAAGGACGTCCCCAGGTATGGAGACGCCACACAGATCATCATGATCAGTTTTAAATTTCAGCCCGGTATGGTGAACAAAGCAAAAGGCATTTAATTACTACCATGGAAACAATTGAAATTAAAAACTCAGAGCAAAATATATTTTTCTTTTCAATATGCAGTGTAGAGTATTATTAGTTGTAAGATCAGTGGACCGATGGGTGTGCTACAGAGGGGGTATATTCAACACAAAAATTTGAGCAGAGGGAGCAATTGTTGGCGACAAAGTTTTCATTAATCACTGTAAACATAACCGTATTCGAAGAAATGAACTATAATTTAGCTTCTTTTTTGCGAGCAAATTTGCTGAAACCAAATCTCTATTGCCTGATTATGGGCAAGGTATTAAATAAAAAGCCCAAAAACGGATTTTAGAGCTTCTTTTTCACAGGTAACGCAGCTTTTTTGTTGACAATTCGACAAACAATTCGACAGAATACTTGAGGCAATAAGCAAATCAGTTTCCACTATTGACCAATAAAACCTTAGAATAACGTTAGAAAAATGCCTCATCTCCTCACCAAAATCTACTCCCACAAAACGTGGCGATAAAGAAAAGGGTATAATATTGGGGCTCAGGCTGTGTTCTATTCTTTGTTGGCCATCTTCAGATCATTTAAGACGCCACCAATATTACCATTAGCACATTGAAATCTACATAGAGTATTGAGACTTAACATAATACGCATAATTGAACAATATCTACTGCAGCCAATCGTGACTGAACTAGACTATCAATAAAAAATGTAAACTATCGCCGGAAAAATACCTCCTTTTTTCCTATTTAAAGTATTTTTCCTACGATTAAGTGTATCTTTTCAGTTTGTACGTGAAGAGAAAATACCATGAGCAAGAAAAATAATGTAGAGTAAATGATGTTAGATAGATTTCTGGAAGATGTGAGACAAGGTGAGATGACTGTTTTCACAGTGACAAAGGAATAAGAACAGTCGAGGAAAGAAAGGGCTCAACACGGGCTGTAGTTTCCGTGTAAGATGCGCTATTCAATGTTGAGCTTGAACAACTTACTTTCTATGGCAACTGTGACAATTAAAGGTTGAGTTATATAACTTTATATATAACTATACTTATTTACAATTTACATAACTGTATATAACTTATTTATAACTTATATAACTGTATATAACTTATTTATAACTTATATAACTGTATATAACTTATTTATAACTTATATAACTGTATATAACTTATTTACAACTTATATAACTGTATATAACTTATTTACAACTTATATAACTGTATATAACTTATTTACAACTTATATAACTGTATATAACTTATTTACAACTTATATAACTGTATATAACTTATTTACAACTTATATAACTCTATATAACTTATTTACAACTTATATAACTCTATATAACTTATATAACTGAATATAATTTGGGAAGTTCTGATTGGCTTAAGAACAGCATCGTTCATGGTTAACGAAGTGGTGACCATTTTTCTAGTAAGCTTATTTGGTTAAAGGGTTTCATTGAACCACTTATCTGAAGTTTAGATAACAAATCTTCAGGAAAAATGTATGTCGGAAACATACCAAGTATTGATTATAAGCCTGCATCTCTAAACGTGAAGTGAAGAGAAATGCGGTAAGAAATAACGTTGGTTCGTCAGATCAGATGAACAGCTGAAGAAAGGCAATGAAGTTGGAATGAATAACAGTATTATTTGTGACAACATCTTCATATTATATGAAGCTGTAATCTCTCTGAAACTTCGTGGACACTGACAGCTTGGGCAAACGAGACGAGTTACTCTTATCAGATAAACAATCACCCAATTTGGAGGGGGTTCTTGAAACATATAAATGATACGGAAGGTGTTATTAGCAGGAGCATTCAGGAGCATGTGTATAACGTCTAATTATTAAGCTTAATACGATACGTATCACTTATATGTTTTAAATATCCCCCTCCAGGATTAAGCTTAAGCTGGTATAAGAACTATCAAACATCATAAAATAAATGTTGCATTACGAGCTGGGATATTTTACTAAGTTCAATAACTAACTACAACTCAAAATAAGTTCCACTTAAATCTCCTTATTTCAACTAATAAATCATTACTTTTAATGTGACGTATACCTGGTACATGCTTCTTGGTATTTCTTGGTATTTCCCTACTTATATATCTTTATATTCAACTTATATCTGCTAATCTAAATAAGTAAGGTTACTCTGGTTAACTTCTAAACTAACTACTAACGACCTCCCGGTCAGTACAGACCACTAAAATCAGACCACTACGGATCAGCAACGTAACAATCCGGGCTCGCTGCAGAACCTCCCTGCAGCTAAATCGAACTTGCTAATTATTATAATTATTAGTAATAATTAATTAATGGATAATTACCTCACCGCCTTGTAGCAGTGTTGTCATGATGACAATCATGAGTTTCACCTTGTACAAGTGTTGTCATGACAATCATGAGGTTCACTGCTTGATTATTGGGTAGGGCAGGGTAGGAGAATTGACTGGCTCATTAGTGCACACGAAGTAGAACTCTTAGGCTGTGCAGTGTACTGGTATCATTTTTCCTAATACAGTAAATCCGAGGTTTACTGGGCTGAGAATTACCAGGTATGAGGGTTACCGGACCGGTAATTTCCTCCGAATTTGTTTTAAGAGTAAACCAGTAATAAAAATAGGATTTGTATTTACCGAGCGTTTCCATTTACCGTGCATTTCCTTTGACCGAACGCGAATTTAAAGGCCAGTGAATGCCGTAATGAAGGTCTGTTCTGTTAAATCGTTCAATTGTGCTCTTCAATATAATATAATATATAAATGTTTTTGTGAATATATACCAAAAACGTTTACAATGTACGTGACTGTTGCAATAGAGAAACGCAAGCTAAATTTAAAGAAATTTTTTGAATACAGTATAAATGGTTGCAAGATCTCAAACGTATTTGAGACACCAAACACGATGCACCGCAAATGAGAGTGATTCTTTGAACTCAAACGCTTAAAAACAACAATGAAGAGGGAGTGCCACAGATGAAAAGTGACCTATATAAAACCTTTGTTTGGAAGTTATTTTGTTGTTCGCGGCTTGAGATTGGTGGGTTGATATCCACTATAATATTGTGGAACGAAAAAGACGTTTTTGGATTAAAGTGCAAGATATATTTTAAAAAGCACCAAAGGTACAAACAACTGGAACAGAACTTAAGTTGCAAATACTGAGCAAACTGAACTGCGACAAGAACAGAACCCTCAAAAACCCACAGACCACATACCACGAATTCCTACTGTAACAACTAAACCCATGAAAACAACCCAGCAACTCCACACATATTCACATGAAACCCCTCCACACGCAACACAATCCGAACACCCCCACTCCCACAACCTCTGACCACGGAACTAGTTCCGTGGCTATACTCCTGATAAGCGTCTCTCAACACAGACTGCTCTGTATCAAATCCTATCCCTGGTATTAGTTCCATAGATGGTATAATTTGTCATGGAGTTTAACCAACTGAGTTGTTTAGCTAAAGATGAATTTTAACGCCCCCTTGCGAGATGATGCTACAATTATTAGATCAGCTCCCTGCAGCTGCATGTTGCGCACCCCGCCGTGTGAATTGATAGGATTGATATCGGTTATCCTTGTCACTAGATCTTTGTTCGATGCTCACCCGGAGATTGTCAGATCAATGACAGAGTTGAAAGCTGAGGAGGTGTTTCTACTTTTTCAGATCTCCCCAGACCTACCACTACTACTACTACTACTGCGAGCGAGAGAGAAAGAAAAGAGAGAGCTGGTATTATGTAAGCTGCAAGTATAGCTGATAATCGGCGAATATAAGCGTCGTGTTTACTAAAGAACTGGAAAGTGGTGGTAGGGGACTCGTGATCACCCAGCTCGACACTCTATTGGTCCGGTACACGGAATACTGCACGGAGATTGGCCGAATTAACAGGTCACAAGCACCTTAATAAATAATGAAAAAAAAAGTGTTCTGACTCTCGGTTAGCTATGTCACCCCCGTATTCAAATATATGAAAATATCAAGTTACAGGTCGGACCGGCGCGGGAGCTAAGCTGCACTGCAGTCAGTTCGTACACGGACCAGCCAGCTACTACTACTACTGCAATCTGTCCGTACACCGACAAGTTGTTGGGGAAGCTGCGGCATACCGACAACAAGCCCACAATAACCTGTCAGATTTGAAACACTTGACCTCTCCGTACAGATTCCTCCTTCAACCCCGGGCTGTGTGAAGGATGGATGTGTCAGCCTTGTTTCCACGCGTACCTATGGTGAGAGTTGGGAAACTATAATTGTAAAGGGATACATGTGAGGCTTTCTTTCTTCCTCGCTGCCGAAGACCTAAACGTGTAGCCGAAATGCGAACCTTAATAACTAAACAATTGGCACAATTGCATAATATAAACCTAAAACATTCCCGGGTTGTACCCAATATCCGACCCTCGCTTCTTTAGACTGCCCGCTGAACTCCCTGTAAATGTTCGGGTTCTAAGGCTGCCGCGACCGAGGAACAACGCTATAAAACGTAACTGTAACGTGTGCTACAACATTACCGCATCTTGCGTGCTACAAAATTACCGCATCT